AGTCCAAGCCTTACAAAGGAAGCACGAAGCATTAGAAAGGGATTTGACTGCCCCAGATGAAAAGATTGTTCAACTTGAAGATGATGCTAAGGCGCTTGCAAAGAAGCATCCTGATTCGCTAGACACTATACAAGGCAAGTATGACGCCCTAATTACTGCATGGGATAAGCTGAAAAGTCAGGCTGTAGATAGGAGAGGTAAACTGGAAGAGTCATTCAAGATGCATCACTTTTTGGCTGACTGGAGAGACTTGAGCATCTGGATGAATGACATGAAGACGTTAATATCGACGGATGATTTGGCAAAGGATGTAGCTGGTGCTGAAGCCCAAGTAGAGCGACATAAGGAATACACCACTGAGATAAATTCTCGAGGTGACAGTTTCGATACATGCATGCAAGAAGGTCAGGCACTACTAAGTGTTGGCCATCCCTGTAGTAGAGACATAGCTGCTAAACTTTCCACCCTTGAAAGACAGAGAGCCTCCCTGATGCAGTTGTGTGAAGAAAGACGTGAACAGCTAGAACAGTGTATGGGCCTTCAGTATTTTTACCGCGACGCTGAACAGTCGGAATCTTGGATTGGTAAGCAAGAGGCCCTCTTAGAAATAAAAGATGTGGGAGACTCACTCGATTCTGTGGAAGTACTCAAAAGGAAACATGGAGGCTTCGAAAAGTCACCTTTAGCACAAGAAGAAAAGATGCGACAACTTGATGAATTCGCTGCAAAATTAATCGAATCAAACCACCATGCGGCTGCGCAGGTCCATGAGATTCAGGAAGGTCTCCAAAATAGACGAAATGCATTAAAGGAGAAAGCTCAGAACCGCCGTCAGCGTCTTGAAGATACCAAATGTTCGATAGAGATGCAGATGAAATGCAGTCATGGATATCAGGAAAACTTAGAAATGCACTTGATGAAAGTTACAAAGACTCCACGAATTTGCAAACAAAGGTGCAGAAGCATCAGGGTTTTGAGGCAGAAATACAAGAGAACCAATTCCGCGTTGAAGATATTAAAAAGACAGGTCAGGATTTGTTAAATGCAAACCACTACAACTCGCCAGAAATAAAAGTAAAGATTGAACAGTTGCATGAAACTTGGTCTCATCTTGTAAATGCCATGAGAGACAAGAAGAAAAATTTAGATCAAGCAAGTAGGCAACAACAGTTCGCTCGCAACGTAGAAGATGGCGAGTTATGGTCGAATGATGTTGAAGCTCAGATAGCCTCAGAGGATGTCGGTCGTGATCTAAACGGTGTGATGAACGTACAAAAGCGGCACAACTTGCTTGAATCTGATGTAGCTACTCATCGTGAACGTATAGATGCATTCAAAGTCCAGGCTAACACACTTGCTGCAGAAAGTCATTTCGACGCTCCTATTATCCAAGAAAAACAAAGACAGTTAGCCCAACGTTACCATGACCTGCAAATCCCTCTAATTCAACGTCGTGAGGAGTTAAGAGATGCCCTTCCCTCGGACACATCTTTGCAGCTTGAATATGGCTACTATAGTGAGCTGATGAAGTTACTAGTCGATTGCTGTATAGATTTCAAAGCACATTCGCTTAAACAAATCGAATCAGAAATGTGGCATCAGTTTGCTGAAAGCTTCACTATTGGCTCATTAGCCACTCACAAAGATGCCTTCAGGTTATGGGTTAAAGATAAGAACCCTGTTGTTGAAAACTATATTGGTTTTATAGAGTCATACCGTGATCCCTTTGGCGTTCGTGCAAAGTTTGAATCATTTGTCGCTGTTGTAAATAGATCAGTGTCTAAAAAATTCCAACGAATTGTAAATAATGCTGAAAGGTTGTTAACAAGTTTACCATGGCCTTATACGTTTGGAAAAGTTAATTTCTTACAGCCAGACTTTACTAGTTTGGATATAGAGACGTTTGCAACTGCTGGAATTCCTGTTGGAACTAATATTCCTAACTATGATGATGTACGACAAGTTGATGGATTTAAAAATGTTTCTTTGGATAATGTACTTAGTGTTCGTTTCAAGGATCCTAAAACAGAATTTCTACGTAATGAAGACAAGCAAATGTACGTGGAACATGCTGAAAGTTCCTTTGAATTACAAGTTGGACTTCATGAACTGATGGGATATGGTTCAGGTAAACTGTTTTGGCGTGATTGTTATGGAAAACGAAATTTCCACACGAAAACTACTGAATATGTCATAAATGGAGGTCCTATAAAAGGTTGGTGTGAACCAGGAGAAACGTATGACAGCAAGTTTCCAAACCTCCCATCTGCAATAGATAAGTGTCGAGCTGAGTGCGTTGGAATTTATTTATCTGATTTGCCTCTTGTTCTGGAGCAGTTCGGTCTGAATACCGACTGTGCTCAAGGCGATGTCTCAGATGTAGTCTATATTAATTGGTTGTCAATGACTCCTTCAGCTGTAACTTCCATGGAGTTTTATTCTGCAGGAGAAAGTGCTGATGACATTGTATCATGGTGTCAAGCAAACTGTTCTGCTCGTTATGCGATTCTGCGAGTTTTGATTGAAGCTGACGATTCTATGGGACGTACACATAAAGTAGTCGGTGAGGACGATGCATCTGATTTGTGTATTTCCTTGGATCCAAAAAGACTTTTAACTGTGGCTCGTTCAGCAATTGGTGAATTCTTAAGAAAATTACAATATTACAAAGGTAAAACGAATGCTATGTATGGATATGCTTTCTTCCAACTCTATAGTCAACTACTTCCAAAATATTTGACTGATTTGCTCTGGCATAAATGGCTACGTGGATATCTTCTGATGCCGCAAACAAGATCTAAGTGGTTGGATATAAGGCAAAACCTACAACCTGATGATCTCGTCTTAGTTAACAGTGCTGACACACAGAGAGGTCTCTGGCGAAAGGCTATAGTTAAGCAGATGTACTATGACCAAGATGGCCGCGTCAGGACAGTGTGTTTGAAAACTTCAACTCAAGAAGTGGAACAAGATATAAGAAGCGTATGTTTGTTTGAAGAAGCAGACAACTTTATGGTTCCAGGTACAAGAAGTCAACTTGGTGATCGTTCGCGGGGAGTGTTAATCGCGATAGATAGATAGACTATATGATAGACAGTTAATCAATATGATGTGACCTTCTTGTCGCGATTATTGGTCAATTTATTGTAACTCTCACCAAGTGATGTGACCTTGAATGTTCTTTTTTGTCTGTCACTCTATTTGTGTATACATGTAATTAATTGACTGTTCATTTTGTCCGTACCCTCAATACTGTTCGGTACGTTTTTGTCCTTTTTTTTGTAATGACAGTGGATTTATACATTTTTCTTGGTGCAATTGTATGATTTATTTTATGTTTTAGAAACAGATAAAGTTTAAGTCAAGTCATTCTGTTTTAACTATAGTAAAGCCAAGACTCTGTGTCGTCAGTATTGAGGAAGGACTAAATCTGTAGGACAAAAATAATCCTACAAAGGGGAAGAAGCAATCTTGCTGAGCAGAAGAATCCTTAATCCAAGTTCAGCTATGTGTAGGAGACGTAAGCGAACTGTACGTGATAACGACTTAGGAATTCGGTATATAACCCTGAAAGCTGTATTGGGGTCGATGTGATGTCCAGTTTCGACCAAGTGTAACAGGATAGAGCCTTTTATGCGCTTAATTTCCCCGTTGCTGAACCAAATTGGTATATGTTCTCGAACCCGTAGACGAACCTGTCTAATCGTGTGCCCTATATAACTTGAACCATAGGAACATTTGAAATGATATATGCATGAAGAAGAACTAAGGTTAGGTAAGACATCTTCCAGTTGCTGGGTGAACATTAGACGGCTGCTGAAGGATAGGAACAGATGTGCAGAGTAGGAAGTTTTCTTTATCGCCCTGGTTAAACGTTGTGATAGAATCCTACCCCACATTCTACGAATCTATGATGACTAATCACCACGATTGTCTCCCATTTCACAATATTTTGTAATCGATTTCAGCCTAGCACTTTTATCACGCAGATACTATTTTTTTTGACACCCCATAACTGTAAGAACCTGAAGAGAAATTATTGAAAAGAATATTCTTCGTTCAGATAGACTTTTAATTCATGATATGGGAATATTTCACACTATTAAATACATTATTTCTATCCATCATTTTTATGGGATCTTTCAGTTGATTTATTTTATTTTTAATCAGATTCGTTGGTTTAGACGTGATGCGAATCCGATTATTTTTGGGGTTTCTTCGAAATGCCTCTGATATACCACTTTTGTATGCTATTGTGATCCTTCTTTTACAGTCCTCCTTCTTTTCATTATCTGGTTTAACCATCTTTTTTCTCTTCTTTATATTATCTCTGATAAATCCTTTTGGGTAGTTGTTGTCGGGTAACACTTAGAATAGGACGTTTACTTCTTTACGCTGGTCCTCTAGCGTTGTTGCAAGCATACGTATTCTGTTTGCAAGGCCTTGTGTAGTAGTCCTCAATTTTTCGTGAATGGATGAGCTGAGTGATAATCAAGGAATCTTCCAGAATGTGTAAATTTTCCCATATAGCGTCGTTTCTACGCTGCCAACTCATTGCACATTTTATGCTATAAACTATTGCTCACTTTTTGCTACTATTCGAAAATTGCGACTTCAGCATATATATGCACACTTGTGTCATTCTAAGCGATTATTCGGTTTTGCGAACAATATACCCGACTTAATACGTAATAATAAGATAGATGCCCCCCTTATATCAGTTACAAATCAGTAAGTGTTTTTTTGTTCACAGATGTTAGAAAAATTGAAATTCTATTTCAGGACTTCATCATGAGCTGAAATCGTTTAGAGAACTGATGAAAAACCTGCAGGGAGTACTGGGTAGCTGTTTCGTCCACCTAGTTTGGGACTCTTCACAGTACGCACTAATGATTCTCTAATTGATGTCAGCTCATGATAAAATCCTGAAGCCAACCAATCAAATCCCTGCAAACCAACAATCAAATTTTATTATTTCAATTATTCATAAGAACTCTTACTTGTACATCTCCACCGAAATAAACCAAATTTACAGTTGGACATATTTTGTTCCCAAGAAAGATGACATCGTTACACTTATTGAGAAAGCCAGCACAATCTTTAATTTCACGCCTTATCCAACAACACATTCGGGGGCTAGTGTTTGGTTAAATTATAATCTGAAAAGGAATATGAAGTCTTATAAATGATATTAGAAGAAAAAAAACAAATAGTAAACAAATTATTTCAAAAATAACAACGCTCTAATATCCTTTTTTTTTCTTTCAATCATGATAACATTTTATGTTAACTCTCACATTACTAATAGACGAAGATAAACACAAGTAGGATGGATGCTACTAACGAGAATTTATAAGCAAAATATTTTATGTGGTGTCTTGTACAAGAAAGAGTCTTGAACAGTGGAGTAAGAAATTACTTTGCAAAGAGGAGAAATAAAAGACTCCTGTGAAAGAACATAGAAAGCATGATTTTTTATTTTTGATTACAGCTTGATTCCACACCGTATTTTTTTGGTACAGGTATGGAATTTTCAGCATGTGATATCGGTAGCCCAAATTTTGCAGGCCGACCATAGATATCAGGTGTGCGTCGGCAGGGCATCGAACCCTGCACCATGTGCATGGTCGGCGAGAGTCCTAACCACTGTGCCACTAAGAGAGAAACAAAATGAGCAGATTATGCGACTAACTTGTGCATATTGGAAATTCCAATGTAAGATTTCTGTATTTTGCCAAATAAATAATTCTAATTCAAAATATTACCGCGTTCTGCCGCTACACAATGACTGCACATTTTAATATTTTGAAAAGACTGAAGTTTGGCCTAATTATATCATCTGAAAATTTTCCAAAAACAAATTGACAGAATACTGATTGTGGTGAAATTGTGAAGCATCAAAATGGATATCGCATCTAACGGCGTCATTCATCTAACATAAGACATTGTAGCATAATGTTTTAAAGCATATAGACACCCAAAGCATAGATCCGGATAATTCGTCGAAAGTAATACTTATTTGACGAAATACAATTATCGACCATTAGTCACACATGAAGCAGCTATAACGCCTGGTACGACTTTAAAGTATCATCATATTAGACAGAAACTGTTCTACAGTTAATAGGTACTTTTCTTGCTGAAGTTTTTACGGCATGCTTTCTTCGATATCGTGTAATGTGTTTGGTTGCGAGTAATGCTAAGCACACACACACACACAAGCGCACACGTGTGTTTTCACTAACTAGGTACAAATAACAACGACCTTGTTTAGAGAAATATACATTCTTTAAACTATTTGGTTTAAATACTTGATTGTAAACCGGGAGTATGTAGTTTAATATGCGGAGTTTCTTCCGATCTTCTGCAGTTTTGCATGAGTTGGTATTATTAATAAGTCATACACATGAGGTAACAATAAGACTTCAAGCTTTCCAATTTGAAGTTTCAGTAGCAATGTCGTTTTTACAGGGTGGGTTGCAAGCATCACACGACACTTCACTTTTTTCTGGACCCATTACCCATTAATCCGGGTTTAGGAGTGTGTCGGCCAAAGATCTAACCCTAACCAAGAGCGTTGTCAGCGAGAATTCTACTGGTGAACCGCTGATGCACACTACATACATATATGTAGAGGTAGAAGGTAAAGCGGATTACTAGTAGTTATTAACGTCTCTTAATACTGTCTTCTAGAATAACGGTTCAATGCAGCTTATTGTTTCGATATTGTGGTTCAGTATATTCGTTGGAGTCACTGAGTTAAGCTAATTTATTTGATATAACTGCTTATAAAGCTGCAAAAGCTGCCAGGAAGATTTTCTGGAAGGTAGGAAGATGAGTTGTAATTAGTGTGGTGGTGGTGATAGTGTTAATACAAAGTATTATGATGGTGTTCTGAGAAAGCTATATAAAGAAGAAGTGAACGCAGTAAAGTATGCTCTCCTCCACCGTAGAAATCACAGACACTTCTTCCCACTTAGGATAGTCTGTCTGTCTGTATTCAACATAGAACTCGTCACCGAAGTGCAGCAGTTCCAGTCGCCACGTTCCAAATAGCACACAAAGGTAGACAACAAAATGAGTGAAGAGAATCAATAGAGTTTTGACAAGTATAAGAATGAAACAGAATGAGTAATGGTAGAAAGGAATATGAAAGATTATAGAGACTGAATACATCTGCGTAAGCCATTGACAACGATTTTGAGCCATGTCACCTATTGTCTCCAGCCATTGATTCTTAGAGTCCCGAGGGCCCCAACCCGGAAGTCTGCATCTCCCTACCTGACTCAGTTCAACTGTCAAGGATTTCATGGATTGATGCCATGTTTTGTTTGGCCACCGCTTACTCTTTTCCAACCTGCACCTATATCAGCTAGTAATGTCTGTCGGGGGAGGCGATGGTTAAGCATGCGAAGCACGTGACCTAGCCATCTCAATCTATGTTAATTTTATAGCCTCGTCGATTGATTTTCCCTCTTTCCCCAACACTCTACGCCTAACGTCAACATTATTTACCTTATTATGCCACCTAACGTGAGAAAGAGATCGTAGACATCTATGATCAAAAACAGTCAACCTTTTCACTTAGGGTAGTAGTCATAAGTAGTTGGCTAGAAAAACGCTACACTTTAGTTTACCATAAAGCTTTTAGTAATGGATGAAAACGTTCAGATCTATTACTAACTAACCTAAAAATAAAGACTTCTGATATAATATTATTGTCAGGAAACAAATGTAACTAAACGCTTGTTTAGCAGAGGTAACAACTTAAAGCAATATAACAAGGTCGTAGTAATCTAAAAGATAAAACAAACAAAGAGGTAAGATGTTATGAACAAGATAAATATACAGCATGAATTCATCCGCGTCACTGCTATCATCTTTGAGACATATTACCTGCAGTTTTATATCAAAGGTCCAACGAGACAACTGGGCACTCTTTCCTTCGCTTCATGGCTGGAACTAATAATCAATAATTCTATAATATATTGGTATGTCTTAGCTTGACTGTGCTGAAGCCTCTGGATTATTAGCCAACAATGTATTGCCTGGACTAGGTCGTCAAAAGACTGGACAACGAGTATCGTTTTCCAAAAGATTTCAAAAATTCTCACGTTCACGCCATATAAAGAGGACATTAACAGACAAAAGATGATCGGTTTAATCAAACCGATGGTTTTAACCATCATTAAGTAAACAGGAGATAAAAGGAGTAAACTCTAGGGAGGGAAATTTCCCACAAACACCTCACTTGGCTACATGTACCTATTCGAACTGTTGACTTCTTTGTAGCATTCAGTTGCAGAGAAGTTTCCTAATGCGATACGTATGACTACAGATACCGTCCATGTTTGCGGTTTTTAACGACTGTACAATGATTCTGATCTGAACAATATGAAGGAGTTCTCTTGATTCAATAAAATGTTGAGAGATAATTGTTACGAGCCAGCCAGAAGCCAGGTACATATTTTTGTGCAGCTGACAAAACAACTCACTACTTTGTGAAGGTCGGCGATAACTCACTACATACATTTCCATGTGAAATAAGTTGTGAAAACAAGAACTACTAGATGAAATTCTGTTTTCTGAGTCAATCAGATATGACCAAAATTGTTCACGATACGATAGGAGTATTCACGTTTTCTGTTCCTCATAATTTCGGACATTCATTAACATATGTGTTCTCATTCCCTCTCTTTTCATTACGGCCTTTATTTCATTTCGGTTTTCATTTTCGGTTTTGTCATAAATTATAATGAAGACTAGAATAATGACTTCTGACACATAAGTTTTTCTGCAAATAATTGTTGAACAGGTTATCCCAAGAAGTGTGAAAGCCCGACTTAAATACTTCCAACGACTTATACTCGTCAGTCGACACAACGGTGAGAGCTGCTCTGATGAAAACTCGAGTGAGCTGTAAATCTTATATAGGCATCTGGCTGAGTTTTCAACATAGAACTTTACACAAACGTGGAACAATTCGAATCACCACACTTCATGTAGTACACAGAAAGGTAGAGAAAAAAAAAGAAATGCATAGAAACTGTAATAAACGAAAGTGTGTTGGAGAATGAGTACATAGAGGGAAGTTCATAAAGCACAAATCCATGTGCATGAGAGAGAACGATTTCGAGATATGTCACCAACAGCCTCCCACGATTGGTTTCAAGCCTTTTGTGAACCTTAACCGAGCAGTCTGCACCTTCCTACGTGGGTCAAACTAACTACCAGAAATTTCATGAAAAATAGCCACCATTATTAGAGAATAATAAGCTCAGTTTGACTAACAGTATTGAAATTTAAGACTCATGTAATATTATAAAAGGAGTGATGAAATAAAGCGATGTTGGCCGATACGCCAACAAGTTCCTATGGTGAGTAAGCGTGATTGCATGTGCTCATCGTGTGATGCTATCATTAAAAAAATTATCGCACTAAAAGCTTTCAATATCCAAGTGCTATATGGTCCTTCAACCAATGAGACTCATCCATAGACTTTACACTAACATCTTTGCGCAGGATATTCACAACCACTTAAAATGCAATCGCTTTTATCATGGCTAGTAATGGAGGAGTCCCAAAAATCAAATTTTATGAAAAAAAAACTGTGCGCTCATGGAATATTCAGCATTAGATTTCGTTTCAAATCCATTCCAAGTGGAATATAAGGATTCATGGTTTCGTAGCGATTGTGTTGTTATTTTTACTGTGCAAGGTTGCTTCTTTCATACCTAATCCTCCCTCTTTTCGAGGCTTACAAACGGTTAGGTGAGGCTAAGGAATGCATGGACCATGATTCGAAACCATACGTCTAGCATGGTTGGATAGCATTCTAACAGTGAATCACTAACGCCTATCATTGGATTACTCGACCCACAATTCCCCACATCACATAAAGGAAATACTAAGATACTTGTCTATTTCAAATACCGTAACGCAAGATTTACATAAATCGCCGATAAATGTTGATAAGTAGACACTATCAGTGGATGAGCCGTAGATACTGTCTGTTGTTGTTACCGGAAGATTCTATCCAAAAGATGGAAAAATAATTAGTGGCCAACTAGACTTCAGAATAATCACCATTAAGAGACAGAGATCACCCATCCAATAAGTAGGTCAAGTCAAACAAACACAAGAAAAATTAACATTAGTTAGCGGATCAGCTAGCGAAAGCAGAAACGCCGTGTCCACACCGAACCATGAGGCCTAGTTCCCCGACGTTGGGGCACCTCCTGCAATGTATCTGCCGTCCACCCCAATCCATACGGTGGCTCAGCTAGAACTTTCCTTTGGTCCACTGCAGGCATCTCGAGGCAGAAAACTTAGAGCGTATTGCAGAAAGCGGGACAGATGTCTGCCACAGTGTCTGAAATGGATTCTGACTACTCGCCTACGGTTATGCAGCAGACCCTAAGTCTGTAGCCACACTTATGACATACTGAATATGTCCACAGCTTGTCACAACAAACAACACACTTCTGTCAACTCAAAGACCAAGGACAATAAAAAAAACCGTTGAATTTTAAAAAACATCTATTTACTACTAATAAAAATGTATTTACAATGTGAGGACACTACGTACGAGTCAAAAGTCATTTGAATCAAATGAAGTACTCAGCCTTGTACTGTCTGCAAACTGCATGTTCTCTTTGTTTTGATCACCGATGGCCTGAAAATAAGTAAAATGGAAAATGTAAACATACCAATGGAGACCACCGTCGTTTCCTCGTTCTTTTTTTGAGTCGGTCACGACTGTTGTGGAACCACCGTTGAATGGATACATTGATGCTGCCTACTGTGGTCTGTCTATCAGCACTGCTTCGCTGGTGGTGACTGTTTATGGTTTCTGTAAACTACAATGAAATCAAAATTCACTTACGAATTATAAGGTTGCAAATCTTCGTGTGTTTGAATGCCCTTTCCTGCTTGGCAGCCGCTCATGAAAAGTGAGTGTTGTATGTGGGCTCCAGCAGTACACATTCATGATACGACCAACTGAATTTTGGACACTCTAGTCAACCAAAGTCCCAAGGTCGGCCGACACATCACGTCGATATTCTTCGTCGGATAATTTCGTCTCGAAGGATGACATGACGGCGTCGCTGTCCAACTGCCATCTGCCTGAAAACTTCAAAACCATGGCTGAGTTCATTCCAAAGACATCTCCGTCAATGCAGTCAGCCGATTAGAGTCGTGCCAGCTTAGCTTCACTCGTAGCGAGGCGTAATTGAAAAGACTAGAGGCGTGACAATATAGCCTTGAAGCGTGCTGAGCAACCACATCTGGAGTCATCTGTCTCCGCATTCCTTGCACACCAAATAATAGTTGCAATGAAATGTAACTTACATACTAACTGGTGCTACACTAGAAGTCGTCAACGTGCAGTCAAACGCAGAGAAGCTGAAATGTGATTATTCAAATGAACTTAAATTTACCTATCATCCGTGTGGAAATTTTGTAGCTCTCGCAACCTGGGTGTATCGAAGTACGAAGATTTTTCACTGTATTTGGTTCTGGAAAGTACAGTATCGCCTCAGATTCACTGGCCAGTGGACGGATATCCTTGCAGTCAGTGGGGTGGCCAAGAAAGTCGAGTGATTCTACCTCTATCCGATACTACCAATATTAGTATTTACACCATGTAGGCATAACCTGTTGAATGCCAAGTCCAAGTGTCTAAGGTGAGTTCCCTTGTCTGGAGTGGCAATGAGGCAGTCATCTAAGTATGCGTACACAACGTCGAGACCACGAAATACATCGTCAATGAAGCTTTGGAATGTTTGTGCTGCACTCCGGAGGCCGACTAACATTTATAGAAATTCAAAACGTCTGAAAGCCGTTTTCGGAATATCTTCTGGTGCCATCGGGACTTAGCCAGATGCTTTAACCGGGTCTATTTTCGGGAAAATAGTTGCACCAGATAATGTTGCTATCAAGTAGTTTATGTGAGGCAGTGGGTGGCAATAATACGAAGTACGTTGAACGTTTGTGGAGTCCTCAAAAAAAATACTTATCCAAATCTTACTACTATGTAAGAAATGAACATATTGTACACTACTTTGTTTTAACCATAAACTCTGTACTTTAAACTTTTACCTCGGGTTTTGAATGAATACATAATTCTGCCTTCGACTCTCCGTCTTCTCCACCATCTCAACTGCCGTCGAACAATTTTAACCACCTGCTTTCTATCTCGAATTTTTGCAGGAGCACCGTAGTTTCTTCATACGTACTTTGGTCGACCTCCGGCAACGTCAACATTGGAGAATTAGTACTGGAGCAGTCTTCCCACAGCACCTGGAGTCTATTACGTTTATTGTGGACTTTGGATCTTTGTAAACCCAAGTAACGAAACTTTAATGTATTCTTCCCGTAACTAAACTGATTTGGTATTTTATTTTCTATTTGAATTTGGGTTACTAAGCTAACAGAGTTAAAGGTCAACCACACGATTGCCTTACATTTTTGCGTGATTCGTTACGTAAAATTATTTTGTTGTAATCCTTGCACAAGTACTCTACTTCCTCCATACCTATAACCATTAACTCTTATATCAAATCGTTATGGTTAATCAAAGTAAAAAGCAACGAACTCAATCCCCTGTAAATCTTATGACTAATTTTACGTCGTTGATTGCTACATCAAGCAACACACTCCCTACAAAGTTATAGTGAGCCACATAACTCACTTGTTTGTCGTAAGCGTCGAACTGAAACTGAGTACAGAACTGTACTGACAGCTAGTATTAGCACTACTCCTAAAAACTTAGTACTCTTTGCTCATACAAAACCCCTCCCTACACCTTACATGCTTATCGAAAAACTTCAGCCTTCAAGCTCTCTTTCAGTACTGTCTTCAGAAATAGAACTTCTAAAGTTGTTCATAGGAGAACTTAAGACCGAGTTAAGGGAAATAAAAAAAACAATAAGTCAGCAAATCCTGGAATTTCTGGAACCAATACCAAAATATCCAAATTATCAGATCAGATCAGCGATATCAGATCGCAGGTCTGTGAACTGACACCTCTTACTATTCTCATGAAAACTGTAAACCTTAACAAACTTGACACAGAATCGGTAACTAAGGTAGATAACCTCATTAACTTTGTTACTGCAGAAGTAACAAAACGACTCGACGCTAAACTAAGTGCTATTGTCTACAACGCTGCGAACAATGAGGCACTAAAAGAAATACAGCGCATCTTACTTAGTAAGACAAAAATGCCCAACTAATTGTGGAATAAATAATAGGACATTGCAATTATACCCAACACTTCGAGAGATACCGTAGAACCCACCGCACCACCCCTCTCAAACCATACAGAATTTTCCTCTCAGGGAGCAACACCAACCGAAAGGCCACTAAATTGTAATCA